TCTGCCTTAGCTTTTTAGCTGAAAATTCGCAAGGATGTATTTCTGAGCATTGTGAACAAAGTTAGCTATGTGGCATCTAAAGGAAGGAGCCTTTTTCAAACCCTACTGATTTCGTCGACTTGTGTTACTTTTTAATTCAGTGTTCAACGCTGAATAAGAAAAAAATAATTTGAACGTTTCGACCAAAAGCTAGTAGTCGAAAAATCTACCATTTTTGAATATCATCGTTTTTTCGAGTTAAATTCGAGTTAAAGTTTCGGAATTTTAAGATTTGAATATCAAATGCGACTTCGATGATGAAGGTGATCAACCCCGTTTGAGTTCATACGTTGATGAGGGATAGACTCGTTTCCTGTACTTTACATGAGACTTCTATTTCCGCTTCTTAAAATTTAAGAAATAGATATTCATGAACTCGTTGAGCTGTATCGAATGGTGTATAATATAGACGAAAAAAATTTTTACTGCAAGTTTGCATTGTGTGCACCTTGAGAAAGACAACTATTCCAATAATTGCTCCGAAATTTTACAAACCAAAATAAAATAAAACTGCAAATGCGGGCGTTACCTAGAAGCGAGAGTTCCACTCCTCGGACCCAGAGTGTGATCTTATTGAAGGTAAGCCATGTGCGGTATAAAATTGTAAGCAACAACATTATGAATGTCCAAGAGAAAAAATTCTTTGTGAATCTGGATGAAACATTTTGATGGGCTTCTACAGTGAGTTTTTAGAACATGAACGTTACGTATTTCTACTCTTTTCTTCTTTAATAATTATTGCGTTTGGAAATATAACTTTAATTTTATCAATATTGACATTATTAATTACATCATTTTGATCATGACGAAACATTGTTAACTGTTTTACTTTATTACATCTTGATTGCCGTAACTGGTGATCGCTAAGTAATTGATCTTTTATATTTAACAGTAATTGTTCATTAATGTGTAATATTCGAATCTTCGGTATCAATAGCAATAAGCATCTTATATAACGATATTCGCCACTGTTAAATCCCAATTGTACTAGTTTTATAGTACTTAATGTAACGCTTGTATCGTTCATCATATCTTCGTCGAAACAAAAACGAGTATATAAGCATAAACCACGAGTGTTTGTTCGATGCTACTCTGCTAATAAATTTAAATAGATTTAATGTATATGGTTCTGTTCCATCACATAAAAATAAATATTTAATATTCAACATTCTCATATCACACTGTGTATTTGACTGATAGCTCGAAATATCATTTGATACAAACAAATATTCCTTGGTCAACGGTAATGATAGTAACGTATGAAGATGTGCATTAGAGCTATAATAATATATCATTGGATGCTGAGCCAATATTCACTTCGAAATGTTGAGATAATACCCGCAGCCGAAGAACTATATATGAAATGAATATGAAATTTGAATTGTTTTAATTTCGGCAATTTGGACAGTGAGCCATGTTCTAAACGTTCGCCATCAATTACTTGGATAGTTCTCATATGAAGTGTTAAATATTCAAGCTGAGACTGCTTAGATAGCAAGTGTTCTAAATGATCATACTGAGTAGCTTTTATTGATGTAGAAAGAATAAATTGTTTTTGAATCT